GGCTGGGCAGCTAGTACCCAGGCTCAGGGCAGCGAGGAAGCTGGCCTCCAGGTCACAGGAGGCCAAGTTGGGGCTCCCTCCTTGTCCAAACATGGGGACAAGAAAGGTTTATTCACCATCTAATCCTGTAACAGGTGTGGGTGGGGGTGGGAAATGGAGACCCTAGTTCCCCTAGGGACAGGCCCAGGGTCCCACTTCTGGGCCCCATTTGGACTGATTGGCCCTCAGTATGGACATCTGGCCTTGCTGCTCAGTGCCCCGCCCAGCTGCCTTGTGCTATTTTCAGCCCAAGTACGACTATGATTTTCCACTTCCGGCACCAGACCATTGTCCAGCCCTGACATAGGGGGACCTGCCTGCCCTCAAAATATCTTTTCTTACCCTCTGGGCCTCCCTGCCCCCTCCCCACCTGACATCACTTCCTGGGGCTGTTGACTCCTGAAGGCCCAGCTACCCAACAGGACTGCAGGGATTATCCAGCCTAGCTGCAGACCCAAGGCCAAAGCGGGGCGGGGCCCTGCCCAAGGTCATTCAGCAGGTCAGCGTGGAGCCTGAATGCGAGCCAGGGGCTCAGGCAGCTCCTGCGGCTGGGCTGCCCCCTTCGGTGCAGGTTCGTGCCTTTGTGGGAATCCTGCTGTCAGCCATACTGCCCAGATCTTCCCACCCAGGGTGGACAAAACCATGGAGCTGAGGCCAGGGACAGGGGACAGGAGGAGGATGAGGGTAGAAAGTCAAGTGGTGGGGGAGCAAAAGCCTGCTGACTTGCTTGCAGCAGCTCTGCTCAGTGAGCTCAGTGTAACCAGGGCAGTGTCCCTGGCACATAGGGGTCTCTGCCCTGGGTGGCAGGTGTCTTAAGGACCCAAAGGGAAGGGGTATCCCAGAGGACATTCTCCCTCTCACTCTGCAAGGTTAGGAAAGGCCCTAGACAACATACTCTCCACACATAGTTGCTCCAGTCTTGGTCCAGGTCAGTACTCTTGTCATGGCAGATTTGGGCTGATCTGTTTAGAATCAGGCATAAGGGGGAGGGAACTCATGTGCTGACCCAGGCACCATGTGGAACTCTCTCATGTATGTGATATTGTTTATTCTTCACGATAGCCCTGTGAAGTAGACATTCTCATCCCCATTTGGCAGATGAGGAAAGAGAAGGGAGTGAGAAGGGAAGATGAGCTCCAGCTTATACAGTGGGTAGGTGGGTGGGAGAGTGAGTTGAGACTGAGTCCAGGTCCGTCAGATGCCCACGTTGATTCCCTTTCTAGTGTCCTGCAGGGCAGAAGGGTCTGTAAGTGACCCATGATTCAAGGCGGTGTTGCGAGGATCCTACACCCATACTGCCGGGGTTGAATGTTGTTTCCAGTTTTGCAGCCGTAGCACCTTGAGCAAGCTATTTAATCATGCAGCACCTCAGTTTTCTCATTCCTAAAATGAGATACTACCTCTCACATAGGGCATTGGGGGGCTTACCTGAGTTCCTACACATGAAGCACTTAGAACAGTGCCTGGCATGCGGTAAGCATTTATATGTCCAGCACTGTGCAGAGATACATAGGCCCTGCCCTTACAGAGTTGACTTCATTTAATATGTAACCACATTGGAATAAATGCTTTGAAGGAGAGGACAGTGTGCCTGGTCAGTGAGTAATAGGGGGCCTGATGTCTCCAGAGCCTCCCTGTGGGTGTGGGAGGAGGGGAGCAGGTCCATCCTGGTGGAAGGCATGGGTCCGTCCTCTGCCCAGCCTGGCCCTGGCTGGCTTTCAGGCACATAGGCCTGTGTTGTTTACAGAAACTTGCCCAAGAGCCTGGCTGTGGGAAGGCAGCAGAGAGAGGGGACAGTGGGAGGAGGGTGCCTGTGTAGGCTAGAGAGCTCCCATCCGTCCATGGCAGCAGGCTTAGCCATTTCTCCCTGCAGACCATGGTGGTCTGCAGCCACACCTTGGTTCAACCATGAGCCCCAAGATCCAGGATGGGAGGACCGGCTTGGACCTGGGCCGGAGCAGGCAGCAAATGAGAAGCTTTTGCTGTGTGACCTGAGGCCACCTGCCTGCCTTCTCTGGGCCACCCTTTGGAGCCAGCCTGGAGACCTTGCTCCCCATGTTCCAGTTCTCCCTACCTCAGTTAAGGTATCAGCTGCCTTGATCTTCATCAAAGGCACAGCTAAGCTGCTCCCTCAGCATCCCTAAGACCCACTGGGCTCTTGATTCTGAAGACTAGAGTGGGGGCACAGGGTGTCCCCTGGCATCAAGTGACCAGAGAGGTGAAATGACCCCACTGCCATCACAGAGTGCCACACAGCACAATGTCTGATGCTTTTGCCTCCTGGGAGGTGGAGGGTAGAGCTTGGCCAGGAGTGACCAGGCTGCAGGGTAAGGGATGTGCTTATGGGGGTGGGGGTGGGGATTGAGCTCCAGAATCAAACTCTCATCCTCCTCTGCCCTGATTCACCATGTGACTTGAGTGAGTCTCTTCACCTCTCCCAGCCTCAGTTTCCCCATCTTCAATGGGGCTTGGCTCTGCTCAGCCACTCTTCCTCCAGTA